GTAAAGATGTATGTAGATGTGTATATGTGTGTCTGTGTCGTATCGGAGCGCCTCGTTGTCATTCGTAGCTGTCAATTTGACAGTTGATTTATGATTTGCCTCTGATTGCAATTTACGATTCGTTTCGTGTTGCACCACCGCACTCGTACACACGCGTGTGTGTTGCACGTTCAACACAAACAACAATGGTAATGAGAGTACACTTTCCCCCGCTCTCACCCACTATTTGCCTTTCGTATGCTAGTAATTTGAGTATTTGTTGTAGTAAAGTTTTAATTGTTTTCCCTTTCTGTGCTGCACACTTTGAATACTTCCTCGCCTCTCCTGCCACGCTTCTGTCTAATTGTGTGCATTTTTATGCGCTCAGCTAACTAGTCAATGATTGAATGCGAATGTGTGACCGTGTATTCCATACACTCATTTATATGTGTATGTGTGTGTGTGTGTTTCTAGAGGTCCCTTAACCTTCGTTCGTGCAATTCATTTGTGTGTGGGCAGCCTTAATGGCAGCAGACATAAAATACGTGTTGTTTTCGTTGCTGCAGCCAATTAATTTGCAACCAACGAAACAACGAGCCGCTCATATGAGCATGTGTCCGTCACAAGGTTTGTAGCAGCCAGGTGTGGCATATGACATTACTCAGTATATGTTTTGTGACGCATTTTTACATTGCTGCCTGCTGTGTTTATGCTTAGGTTTTCACCTTTTTATAATATTTTTGAAATTTTTTAGTTTTTTTCACATTTTTGTTTGTTGTTGTGGGTTAGAGTTCTGAAACTAAAGTCACTAATTGCATTCACATTGACAACGGTTAACTTTTTTACAGTTTTACATATCTGCTCTAACTAGTTCATTTAAACTAAACGCCTAAACAACCACTCAAGCATTAAGCATTAAGAGGGAAAGCTTTTCACAACTCGCTTAGAACGGCAGAACACTTAAGAAGTACAGTGAAGTGACACCAAATCTATGCTTGCTTAAGGTGCTTATTTCTTATATATATACTTCGATAGCTTATACCTTTAAAAATAACCTATCAAATTTAAATAAAGTTTTGAATTATTATTTGATTATTACAGCTTTCTAAAGTGCAATCATTTTGTTAAATTTCAAATTTTTTTTCAACAATTGTAGGGCTTTGCAATACCGTACAGTAGGTTTCTTGAAAAAATTTCCAAAAATCCTTTCGGAAAGAAAAATAAAGCTCATAATATTTTATTACTATATTTTTATTTCTGTGAGCTTTAACTATTTCTGCGCTCAAACATTCGTTCGGTGATCCATTGGAAGGAAGAGAAAGAAGTTGATGGAAGGAAGTAAACTCAGGCAGTTTAGCTTTGATGACATCAGTATGTAGAGATTTGCTCTGAACCAGCAGTTATTTCGTTCGTTTATTTTCGATTGATATCTTCGTTAATATTTTTGGCCCGTAAAATAAGATTTTTATGCACTGGGAAAGAAAGTCTTTTATACTAAGTTATAACAATTTTCAACGGTCACAACGGCCGAAGCTATAACCTAAACTAGATTGAACCCAGAAATCTAGAACCACGTGTTGCAACCAATTTCAAAAGCTCTGGGACGCAGTCGCTGACTCAAAGCGCTGCGGTGACATTCATACCATGCCTTTCCGCACATTAACTCCACATCAAAGTATAAGCCTGCAGAGTAAAAAATTACAACAACTTAGAAAAGAGAGCAACTTGCAATAATTTAAGCATTTTATGTGAGTCTTAGGCCACGCAGGTGAACTGAAATGAATAAGAAAAAGCAAAAGAGCATGAAAAGTTGAGCAAAGTAAAGTGCGCTGGGGCAGCAAAACCGTAAACTGTGCTTTAAGTGGTAGCTCAATAACAACAAAGACAACAATAATTGAATGCCCGCAGTTAGATGGCAAGGCAAAAACAACAAGCTATATAAAAATCACAATTTCAAATTAAACAGATATCTTTACTTACAGCCACTCACACACACACACAAATACATACGCACGCACGCAGCAACGGAGGCATTTTCACTGTAATTGAATTTCAAATACATTGTTCCAACAATTTATGAACACGGACACACACACAGGTAGCTGAGCTGTGCCACACACGCCACATAAACAAGCGCACGAATATTTATTCAGCTGTGCGCGTGTGTGGGTGTGTGTGTGTACTTGTGTGTTAGTCGTTTTGATTTTTGCCAACCTTTTCATTTGCTTCAGTGGCTTTCACTTAAGTGCGCACAAATAACTTTCACTGGAAGCGTACACCCGCGCCGCTCGGGTATCTGCTTCCACCTGTTAAAATATTGATAACAAAGTGGCCAATCGCTCAAGTGAAAATTTACGCAAAATCGCACAAGAAAGCTTACTTTCAAACATTCCAAGTAGAGCGCTCGCCGCTGCCGTCCAGGGGGAGCAGGGTGGTGCAGCAAGTGGAAAATTGCTTAGCAACCAGCTGGAAGAGCAGCTAGTTGGGGGCGTGATGGCTCCTAACTAACGCCATTGACCGTCATCCCTGACTCTTGACTTTTTTGTTTTTATCTGCGGGCTTTTGGCATTCAAGGTTGTTGCCGCAAGTATTAAATGCTAACAAGTTTGAGTGAAATTGCTTCTTAGTGCGCTCATAACTTTCTGCTTGTTGCGCTGATGGAATTAAATGCTTGTTAAAAAATATTATTATTTTTCACACAAATATTTATTTTAAATTCTTATCAATATTTACAAGCATTTTTTTTAAGGTATTTGTTGCGCTTGTTTATTTATTGGCGTGTTTATTTTTTGACTCCCTGAGAAAAATCATTGTTTTTGTAAAATAAATTTCGTCTCTTACAGTTGAGCGCATGTTCCATTTGCCACACACAAACGCTAGAGAGGGACTTGTCGGTTTCAGGGTATCCTTTGATACTTTGAATTTTTCTACTTTCCATGTCTTTTAGGTTTTATTCCCAGTGGCGATCCAACACACAGCTGTTGCCTTGTAAAATTTAACATGTTGCAGCAGTGTGCAAACAAACACAAACCGGCGCACATCGCTTGGAACATTTATACAAACCGGAGTGTCTGTCAAAACTAGTCAAATATTTATATGTATGTGTGCAAATAGTTGAGGCGCGAAGTGGTAAGGGATACATGTACACTCATGTTAATACATATATATTATGCAAAACAGTTAAAGTTTGCGCATAAAATTGAAAACTTGTGAACTCCCTCGAAAAAAACCATTTGGAGCATTGTAGACATGCGCAAATATCCACGCGCAGGAAGGACCATAGCGTTTGGGTTATGCGATGCTTGTTCGCCCATATGTTGTGGCATGTAACATGGTTCTAAAAATAACCAACAGCTATCTAGAATTTACAAACACGCTTGCTTATACCATATATCCACATGTGGCAGTTGCATAGATATATGCATATTAATAGCCCTCTTTGATTCGCCCCTTCTTTGCCCGCTTTTTTATGGTCTGCTCTCTTATCAAAGAATTTACATGTGAAAGGGACAACCTAAAACGAGTGTGTATATAACTCAATAAAGTATAGCAATTGCTCGCTAGGCTATTTCTACTGGATAAACTCAGTTTATTTATACGAGTTGCTTGTTCGATTCGCCCTCTAAAAGGATTTACGAATCGACAGTTTATATTAAGAAATACCAGTAATAAGGTATACCATTTACAATTGATCTTGAGGCAGAGTTTACCAACACTTTATCTTTTCATTTATCAGGCAGTGCACAGTAAAATTATTGCAACCTTAACATTGGATACTTACCAATGGCTCAATTAAACCGTTAATTTAACGTAAGTCGCAGTCAATGGAACAAAAAGCTGTCAAACACATACGGCGACATTGACATAGTTCAGCGAATCAAGTGACAGCGGCTACGCTGGCTAAGTCATATTGCCCGGATGGGTGAGAACACTCTACTCCAGCTGGCTGAACTTGGTATCTCCAATTGGATAAAAATTCTTGGACAAAAGAGATCGAAATTGTTAGAGTATACAAACACGTTCTCCTTAACTGCTGCCAGGCTCTCAGATCACTGTGCGGTAGACCAAACCCTCTCGCCTGAATACTGCTCTTAATATTATAGGATCATAATGGCATATTCCTAGAAATCAAATATTTCCGATTTTTCGAAATTCTTTTTTCAAGACTACTTTCGAGTACTGATGATTTTTCTTAAATTCTTTAAATGTCAAAACAATTAATTTCATTTCCCAGAAATGCCAATGCTACAAAGAATTTCCTGACCTACACGATACCAAAAGTAAAGTATCGATTTCATTAATTTGGTTATAATCCTGTGATAAAGAACCAACAAAAATTTCCTTTGGAAGCACAAGCATTAACTATAATGGAGATAACAGCGTGGTACCTCTACCATTCATCTTCTGAAAGGCATAAAAAAGAAAATCTAAAAAAATGTCATCCCCACATCAGATCAAGCTTGAGTGACTAATTGTCAACCACTTAAACCACTCACTTTTTCGACAGTGTCGTCCGTCGTGCGCCGTCTGCCGGCCGCCATACTCTTAATGAGCCACAAAAGCATCCAATTAAACTCATTTTGTCAGCGCGCCAGTGATGGAGTATCCACACAAGTATCGTACACGCACACACACCAACAATATGGGAAACACGCGCGAAGCAGGACGAAAAAGTCATATCAAATTTCCACACACAGGCACACACTCTGAAAAAGAAAAAAACCTACAACAACACACGTACATGCGTGCAACATGAAACAAGAATAACGAACAATTACACGCAAACCAATACACACAGACATATCTATATGTAGATCAATTACGACGCATCCGCCTATCCATGCCACAATCTACGAGTAATTTGTCATTGAAAAAATATGTGTGTATTTATGCACTTGTGTATGTGCGTGTACATGTGCAAGGATGCGCCCACAGGATTGCAACACATTCAAAGGGCAACTGTTAGCCAGAAAAAAAACAAAAAGGCGCGTGGAAGGTAAATTTTGAAAACATTTCGGTAATTTCATTTTTTTCTTGTGTGGGCGTTTAACGCGCATTTGATTTATTGCTGCCGGCGCAATAGAATTTTTCATAAGTGAAAAAATGCCAATATGTTTGTTGTAATTTCGAATAAAATGCTGTATGGCAATATTGAAATGAGCTAGAGATAAACCCTTTCATTTGGATATGAAAATAAATTATTTTGGGCGATATAAATATGCGTGTTAAAAACGATAATTCTCATCAAAGAAGCAAGTCAGCGCTGTGTGAGATGAGATGCTTGTGATAACTTATAGTTGCTTTCGGTTTCTTCAAACCTCTGTGCCGAATCTCCTTATCTCCTTCAAAAGAATCCCCGTCCGGTTTCCGTCTTCTATTCATTTTTTATCTCTTCCAGAGAGCAGCGAAATAGGCAGCTAATAGTACAAAATTCATAATTTTATAAAGTTATTGGAAGGCATACCCTAATCCAGTACTTGTCATCTATTTGGTTCAATTAGTTGAAGCAAAAAATATTAAAAACAAGAAAAAACGTTAATTCGGCTGCTCCGATTTATTTAATTTCATACATACCTTGATTTTGATCGGTCAGTTCGTTTGATAGCTATAATGGTCCGACCTGAATAACTCTTCCTGAGGATATCTCGACAAATACAAAAGTTTTCCACACAAGAACTTGATTTTGATCGGTCAGTTTGTATAACAACTATATCCTATAGTGGTTCGATATCGGCGGTTTCGACAAATGAGCAGCTTCTTGAAGAGTAAGAGACATGTGCAAAATCCGGTACCTCAAAACCTGTGGGACAAGCGGACATGGTTTAATCGTTCGTTCGTCACGCTGATCATATTTATAACATAAGTATATACTTTAAAGTGTCTTTAACTAAATTTACTTACTTCTTCAGAAACTTGGTAAGCTGGAATTAGAAATAAACACAATCCTCTGGAGTATTATACTTCAAATATTTCAGAGCCTCTGGATCTTGCATTTATTGAAAATGTAGCCCGAGGGCACTAAGGCTTGAATTTTTGACATAAATAGTTATAAAACCAGGGTCTAGCGGAAAGCCGATTTGTAAGTTGAAAAATTTTAGTATTAGCATGAAACTCGCAAAAGCTGTTGATAAGCTCATACCTATAACAAGTAGCTATTATATTGTATATACAATATAGGTATGAGAGTCTTATCTATTGCCAAAGTTATGTATTATTGTATGCAGCCAGTTTCATGATAACCCAGCCAATGAGCTGTCAACTCATTGAAAGAATATAATCAATTAATAATTTAATTTAACGTACCAAATAACACTAAATATAAATATTTATTGCGAGCATTAGAATATTGAATTTCGCTCACAAATCCTTGTGCCATAAAATGTAGGCATTTCCAATAACATTTTACGAGCACCGAGCGGAGGCCGTGTTCTATTGCCATTAGTTAATTTTTTTATTACAAAAAATGTTTATTCCTCGATTTAGACGCGGCTGCCCTTTTAATGGCCCAAGCTAATTTGGTATTTGTTTTCCTCGCTTCGAGCAACGCAAACGGAATAGAAGAAGGTGGGAGCGAGCGGCAGCCAATAAATAATTTCGATTACGGAAGTGCACAATTTTACGAGGCAAATTTACGAGTGATGTAACTCATTATTGGAACTTTTTGTATAAACCAATAAAATGACGGCTTAATGACAATCCAAGGAAACGTTGAAAACAACAGCAAAAGCTGTGTGAGGCGATGCTATTGCCACTGCAATTGTTGATAATAAATCGAGTGGCCATAAAACGGCAGGTGAAGAGGAAACAAGCCGCCTAATTTCGTCAGGAGCCTGAGGCTGAATAGGTGCAAAGGGCGCACAGCAGCGTCCCATGCGCCAATGGGGCGGTTGTTGGTGTTGTATTTCTTGCACTTTTTGTATTTTTTACGCGCATTGCGAGTGTCATCGTTAAAAAGTCATTAAATCGTAAAATTAACGACAACAATGACAACAACAACAACCGATGATGTGCAACTGAGTAGGCAAATCGCCCATAGGCGCCTATTTGTTCTCAATTGAATACACTGCTCCTCCAGCTGACGATGTCTTATATTTACGCAGCACTTGTCGGCTATAAATTCATTAAACTAATTGTTTATTTACCGAAAAACGAGAGCAACGAATTGCATTTTCAATAAAAATCAAGAAATAAAAAATAAATCGCATAAATTTTATAACAAAATCAACGCCAGATCGAGTAAGCAGGAAGCCAACGCACACTAAGAAACAACAACAAAAACATTTTAATGGCAAAAAATACGCCGGGAAGTAGAGCTTTATTGGCAGTCCTCTATTTTCACGTGTTGCACATACACACACATACATATATACAAACGTTTGGTGGCACATTTGTTTGGATAAAGCTTTTCGGAGCGGTAAAGTGCGGCTTGTTTATATAAACATTTCCCAGCCTTTTGCTTTAATAAAGTAGCGAATTTTATGAGCTGTTTTCCTCAAAAATGAAGAAACACTCAGGGGTACACCGCGGCTCCTCTAAACGCCTAGCAGTCAGCAGTGCAGTCAGTGGTCGCCAGCTGTTGGCGCAGCGATGGTCCAGGCATGGATCACGGTGCGCTGTTGAGAGCAGCATTGTTATTCGGAGCAACTGCGTGTGATCGCTGAGAATATCAACAAAACAACGAGGTAATGACTGAAGCCTGTGGATAGTTGATGTTTTATAAAAAAAAAATTATTTATAAACAAATTGTATAACTTGTTTACTTTATGAGAATATTTGCATAATTAGTTGAAGAAGTTTTTGACAAGAAATATTATAGAGAGTTCAGACAGACTCTTAAATTCGACTTGTACTGTCAACAATTAGACCGCCTGTAAAAAACTATCGTCCAGATGCGACCAGCTTTGGCTAGTAGGAAATTATGTGCCATCAGGACAACGCATCATCACATCAATATTGCCTCACCAAAAGCACCGGATGTTTGACTGTAAGTCTCTCACCTCATAGTATGGGTCTGTTTTTTAGTGATTATTATCTGTTTCTGTCTGTTACGAATGATTTTGCTGGTGAAAAATTCATCTCAAGAGAAGATTTTGAAAATCGCCTCTACCAGTTTTTTGCCCATAAGGACAATGATTTCTATGAAAGTGACATTATGAAAAAACCTTAGAAGTGGCATCCAGTTATTGAACAAAATACTGCATATTTGAACTAAATCGGATCATTCTAACATGCTAAATAAAACCTTCAATTTACTAACCCTTATACGAGCTTCGTATATACCAGTCGTACTGAAAAGTTCGAATTGTTTCTATGAGAGCGCGCTATTAGAATTAATCGTGAGAGACGAGGTAAAACATCAGTGACGTAAGTTCAGTATACTAAAAAAAAATTATAAGAATGGAGGTTGATCGAGACACACTCTAGAGGTATTAAAGTAATGCTTGCAATGTCATATATTTTATGGATATTTGGATATTCGAAAGCGCTGTGTAAGGTGGGTTTAGCTCAAGCTCTAAATTGATCTATTCACCATATCACAAATTAATGAAAATGATGACCAAATCTCCGGAGTTAAGCTTCAAATTACCTTTGCATCTCTATCTTCCGCGGAACTGTTTCTAAGCTACTTTATCCTTTCTCAGACATTAAGAATATGCTGAAATCGACCCATTGCTGCAAAGATTTGGGCAAATAAAATCGATTTTTTTAAATAGCTTTTACGAATTTTCCCGGTTCCAGTTATAGTGTTGATAAGATATGGACTATGTGTAAACCAAAACTCTTTCGAAAAACATCATTATTAACTTACAGAAACGAATTTTTGCGCAGCCTCGGACCACCTTGGTTTGCAAGTGATTACATAGGTATGTATGTACAATATAAAGAGTAATTATTTGTATACTTAAACTGCTTAGCTGTTCTATGCTTTAACCCTCTTATTCGACGTGTAATCCAGTAAACAGCTCAATGAACAACTTGGCGGCGATTGTTAAATAGCCTATATATATGTATATGATTGTGTATGTGTGGGCTCTTCATGTTTTCGTTCTTCTGTTTATTTATAATTGGCCGAACTAATAAACACAATTTTATTATAAACAAAATTCCTTAGGAAGATGCAAAATTCAACAGAATTAACGCCCAAAGCAAAAACAACGAATCAACAATTTAAGCAACAACAAAGTAAAACTAATAACGCAACAACAACGGCGTTTAGCAGGAACGAGTAGAGCGCCGGCACAGCGACCACCAGCAGCACAACAACACAACAACACTAGCAGCTTCCATCGACGACGGCAGCAATTTGCAGTGTCAGCAGTCAAAAAGGCAATTATTTACTATGTATACACACACATATGCACAACAAAGTGTGTACTTGTGAACATATTTAACGACTGATACCGAATGTAGAATTTTCCAATTAATTTTAAGAAGAATTCAAATGCTGATATTATATACACATACATACACACAGCCACATATGTATGTATATTTCCCTCACTTCCTCAATATATAATTTCGATGTCATTAACAGCCGATTCTTCTTTGATTTTTTTGTTGTTGACCCACTTTTCTCTTCATTCTTCAGCCATTGAATACTTGCTTCTACATTTCTCTGATTTTTATTGCTTTCGATTGAACTAATTAACGAGATGTTTTCGGTATTTTTTAATTTAATTTAATGTGTGACATTTAGTATGTAAAAGTTGCCGTTATCGCTGTCGCTACTCTTTCGCGCTGGCTGCTGTTTGCTGTTGTTGGTGGCGCTGGTTGCATTTGTTTTCATCGCTGCTGTTAATGGGCGTATTAAAGTTCATTAGCGATCGTAAATTTCCATGCAAAGCAGGTAGGATTAGCCCCGCTTAAATGGGCGGCTGATTGAAATATTGAATTAACGTTGGCGACGGATTTTCGGATTTTCTTCAAATTATGAGCGCATAATTATTGCTACTAATGTATATTGTATATATACTTACGTATGTACTTCATATAGGGCAATTACACTGGTGGTCACATAAATATTACAAGTTTTTATCAAAATTTTGGATTTTATTTTTGGATAAGTTCTGCTAAAAAAGGTATGAAGTATCACTAGCAGATATTAAGATTAAGTGCAGTTTCTGATAAAATTTAATGGGTGGTCCTAGAAGCAAACTGTTTCGAAAAGTTCTGATTTAATCTAGACGGTGGTTAGAAGACTGGTTTTGAGCATACACGCAATGCGGTTAGAGTCTAACGAAATACTTGTTGCATCTGTCGTTCTTTGACTCGAAAAATGTCTTTTACGGAAAGAGTATTTGCGCTGCTAGAGACTACCTCTCTATAGATGAAAATAGATGAACTCAGTCTTTAAGCGATGTGCTTGATATAGGACGTCCTCAGAGTTGCTTAGAAACACACTCTTAGAGATCCCAATAGACGCTTCTCACCCTGTATTCTGTGAATGGGAGTGTTATTGTTACTGCAATTCGGAAAACCGGAGAAGTAAATTGTGTGCTGTTTACAGTTCCATTTACTGCGTAATCGCACATTACGTGTATTACTAAGCAATAGTCAGTTTAACATACGATTAACGAAAATCTTTTTAGTTGTTCAACGATTTTCGAAGCTTGGAAAACTATCCAAATTAGCAAGAGCAGTACTTTGATAAAGACTGGCTTAACTTTTCTCAGCTTTGACCTCAAAATTTCAGTATTCACTACCGAATTATTAACAACGCGGATAGTTCGTTGTCCACTGACTGGTCAAGGGTTACACCTATGGCGATCTAACATTTAGAAAAATGCCTGCTGGCATATT